TTTACATTTTGATAATAGGCAGAATAGAGCAGATGCAGTAAATGATTCTATAAATCAGAAAACCTTCATTTTCAAGATAAATCAAACTCAATATAGATAAATTAACAGTTAAATTATGTACTCTCCTAACTCATGTTTTGAGATATTCTCACACGCCTTTTTCGGCTTAACTAGTCCAAATCCAGTTAACAGATAACTCATTAACGCATGAAACGTCTCATTAACGCTAGTCAAAACTTAATTTTAAGTAGTAATCTGTAAAGGACTCCATGTTACAATATCTTTGAAATTAGATGGTGAAAATTTACAGCAATATATCTTGACAGGGAGTTATGACTGTGCAGACATCAAATAAATTGTAGTATCCTATAACTGGAATATTACAGACCTTCTCCAACTTCACTGCAGGGGGTATCCGTAAAATTCACATAGTGGATATCTGAACTGCAATGTATCAATATCCGTAATAGAATAACCCCACTAACACATGAATGGCAAAAGTGGACATCATTTAGTCTAGGAAAGACATGTCTTTTGTGGATAGCTTTGAATAATGACAATTGATGATTAGGAAGGAATGTATAGTTGCGATAAATCTAAAATGCTTCTTTTTAGCCCTAGGCAAACACAGACAACACAACTGAATTAGGGAGAATATCTGCATACCATATCAAGTCTAGACTGATCTAAATGTTAAAATGGCTTGCCAATACCTTGTGTGTGTCGGCTCTCACCGTACTAACTGAACACGATTTCGTGGGCCACTCAGGAGATGCCATGTCAGCAAAACAAACAATATGGTCAAGCAGACTGTTTAGGCCTTCAGTGCCTGGCTGATACGTTTAGTCCTATAGCTCCCATTTATCCCCCACACAAATGAGTGCTGAGGATGCAGCCCACAGTAGGCAGGGGCCCTTTGTGGGTTCTCGCTTTTAAAGGAGCTTCTTCTCACATTCTAATATAAACTGAATGAGTTTTAGCTTATCAAATGTTTGAGGAAAATGACTGCCTTAACAGTAGTTAATAAATGTATTACCGCCACAATCTTAGCATGAACACTTCAATTTAATTTGGCGCAAGATAACATTTTTTATTATAGGATAAAATATTACAAAGGGCGGAGGCTAAATTAGCCCCATACAACTAAGATACTTACACTCATTGCCAATTATTATCCAACCAAATTTACGAATCATATGGTATAAACCAGAAACTAACTTAATACTCATGATTATAGTGATAACTTAAGTCAGATAACTACTAAATGCATAAACTAATCTTAATATAAATACAAAAACTGGAAAAAACAATTCACAATTAATCGATGAATAAAAAAAATGGGACGTATTTTTTAGGAGGTTCCGAATTATTATACAAAACCGGATATTGTCATCTTTCAACTTAAAGACAATGAGTCAATAAAATAAACTTAGGTGGCACACTGCTTAAACATTAAAGCAGTCACAAAGTTTAAATGTTAATGCACCTAAATACAAATCAGTGTCCTGTAAGTAGGTACGTTTTGTTCAAACGTACCCAAATGTGACACACATAGCCAAGATCACCGTGTTTGTGGGTTCCGGCAGGCTGCAGGATCTGCTCCAGCCTTGGACCACAAGCTCTGTGGACTCTGTGTCCCTGCCAAAACCTCCTCCCAGTTCATAGTTTTTATCTTATTCAAGAATGGTGATTTTTTTTTTTTTAATAACCGTCCTCTCAAAAGTCTAAATGGCAAAAATGAAGTCTAAAATGATGCTAAAGTTTCCAGTTTCTTTCCCAATGACTGCTGATGGCTTATGTTCTTATTGAACTGTTACTCAGATGGATCCTTGTCTCTTTCTGCCCTTTTAGTTGGCTGTCTGGTTGATCCATTGTACAGGCTTTTGTTCAAAAGTTACAGTACAAAATACTACTTTTATTTCAAACCCTTCAAAAACCTATGAACATTATATTCCATATCTGACAATAGATTCTCCTTAATGTTACAGACTGGACCTTTAAAGTCCAGGTGAAATGAAAAATTTAATTTTAACCCTTTAAGATTGCATCCTCAGATATAGTTTACCCCTATTTAACAATGTATGCCAACAAAATATACAAAAACTTTTTTTTTTTACTTATTTTTATATCAAAATCCAAACATTGTGTTTTCCTGTAAAACAAAATGTGACGTGTGCTCACGTAAGCATAAACTAACCTATTTCAACCAATAATATGACATTCACCTATAAATCTTCAACTTTACTTATTAACAATCTTTAAAATAACATTTATTAGTAAAGAGGACTTTTGACAACCTAAAAGCACCAAAAACCATTAAATTGTGGCAGTATGAGGAGCCAAGATGAGGCAGACAAGGTATTTAATAAATTAACGTAATACAATTGATCATAAACATTTTCCATAACTCAAGTAAACTTTTTACATACTCCTTGCTTTGCACACAGGCACTGCGTCTGATACAGAGCAGCACTCCACTGTCAGCTCATCGATCAGTCCCTATGTAGAAGCCAGCATTTACACTGTATAAATATGGCAGATGTGGTCCAACGTTAGACTCCTGCTGAGTCTCCAGAGGTTGGGGGGGGATCACTTCAGCAGGTGTCTCAGCTGGTCCTGCAGGTTTTTCGAGTGTTCCACACTAGAGGGTGGAAGTAGAGCACACACACAGGAGAGTCAGTGCACGTCATCAGTTTGTGTTATGGCTTACTGCTGAGACAGTGATGTCAGCCGCTTCTACTCAGGCATAAACAGAACGCAGAGATTAGACTTACTTCTTCTGGATGGCCTCCTGCCTTAGTGCAACACACAGACACACACACACACACACACACACACAATCTTTCAATATTCCAGTTTGAACAAGAGTTTTCACATATTTGTATTCACAAACAGCTGATTGGTACTCACTGGTATTGTAAATGTGTGGTAATGATGGACATCTTTCTAAGACTCTGGAAGACAAGATGATACTGATGTTGAGTTGTGCCATCTTAGAGAATCACAGAGCAGCATATCACTTATTATTATTATTATTATGGACTGCTCTAATTTAATTATCACGATAATTAATATACAATAATATACATTTCCCATTATCAGCAATAAATACAATCAACAGTGTGTTCGCTGACTGTGGAATATTTTCATACTTACATCCTCAGAGTGCAGGATGGCATCCTCCTGAATCACCATATTTCTCGCTGCTTGACCAAGAAGCTGGGTAGGAACAATACGACAACTGATTCATTTGTAAAGCATGACTGATATATCGCTCGGCTGATATTAAACAGCACAGAGTGAGAGAGAAGAAGCAGCTCTCAGCGATGTCAACTAGAATCGTTTAACTTTAACAACATATATGTTCAATAATGATTTAGGAATATTTCAACATGTTGCACAATCGGGAAAGTGCCTATGTTCCCACATTTGCTTTTTCATAAATTTGTATCAGATTCAAATCCCTTCTTCTAACCCTAACCCTAACCCTTCTTAGAAATGTGGGAACATAGGGCTGACCCCGCACAATCCACTTTGGTTCCAGCTCAAACATTCACTATATCAGCCACCATATTGGTATTTTTTCAGCTTTAAAATATGTATCAGTGTGAAAAATCCCATATGGGTCGGGCTCTGCCAGTGGTTTTATACTGCTTCAATGTGCTTGTTTCTGTCAGACAAAAAGTTTCAAACTCAGAAATACTCAGTTTATTGTGCTTCAACTGCTTGACAAATGACTCAAACTATTAATCCATTAACTATTAACATTAACAGAATAGCCGCAGATTACTTTGCTGTTAATCGTTTGAATTAAACTAGCTTTAATGAAGTTAACCAACAGTCACTCAGTGTGTACATGTGGGGATATTTTGGGCAGATTTTCAGTTGGATCTTAAAATATGTTTTGGAAAAGAAAACATGATTTGTTATAAATATTCCCCAATTTTAATTCCTCCCACAAAGCACATCTATCATTCATTTGGTCACTGTTTTAGCTAAATTTTACATTCATAAAACAACATTTTTGAAGAAGTTACCATCATATATTACATTTAAACAAACGGATCTGAACATATATTTTTCCATTTAAATTTTTTTTTTTTTACCAAAACTCTTCAATATTCTGTCTGCTTACACTGCTCTTGTTTCTCTTGTTTTCACTATTTTATACAGAAAACCTCGACCTGTAAACAACACTGGTATTATATATTATAACTGTTTTTCAAATAAAAGGTTTAAAAAGGAATGCTAATGCTAGCACTTTCTCTACGACAGTGGGTTTAGTTTAGTTTACCATTTAAAAGATTACCCTAAAGTTAATGTTCAGTTGCATTTTAATAACCTAACTAACGTAACCGAGTAAGTTTAGCTAACCTGCTAGCAGCTAGCTGGATCAAGCAAACGGTAATAAAGCTCACAGCTCACGTTTCAAAATAAATCCGTACTGATAGAGTCAATGGCAATTACGTCACGGTGTACTTGAAATGCTTTTATTTTGACAACAAAAGACGGTTCTAGTGGTGTTTCCGTTTGTTCTTTCGCGGGTTAGCTACGTTAGCTTAGTAGGAATACTTTAGTGAAGCTGTTAGCAACAACAGCTAGCTGTAATGTTTTTATTTACCTCCTGACTGCGGGATCCCTTCAGCACCTGGCGGGTCAGTGCGATCACGTCCCCGCTACAGGAGCCCACTTTTTCGGATAATAAACCTTTGACAGACTGGCCGAATCGCGGCTGGGACTCTGCTGAAGCCATTTTCTGTTTTGGCTAACGACGGTGCGTGGGAAGGGCCAAAACAGAGACCAACGCGTCTAGGCAAGACAGAAATAATCAACAAGATGAAATAAATATGGTAGAAGGACACTGAGTCACTGATGATAAATGATAAGGATGGTAGTGATGGAAGTGATAGCTATAAAAAACAAAATTGAATAAAATATGAAAAAATATATAAATGAATGCCAAAATACAAAAATGAAGCACTAGAGAAACAAAATACAATAGATGTAAAAATACAACATCACATAAAAGCAAGTCTATAAAAATGGATTCAAGAAGTGATTTAAAGGAAGTCACTGATTCTGCAAACTGTATCTGACAAAGCTGAGGGGCCCACTCTTACCCCAGGGTGTACTGCTGCTGTTGCTGGAGATTCATGGAGAGATTTTAAAGTAGATCAACTGATTAAATAAATGATTTGATTAAAACACATCCACAGATCCTCTTTATTAATAATACATTTAGGTGTTTGTGAAAAGGATTGTGTGATAACAAGTTAGAAAACAAGCAGAGGAGATAGAAGAGCTAAATGTAATGGATAAACTGTTGCAATAGATAAGTGGTTCCAGTAGTTGGAGCAGAAACTTGAGTACTCGAGTACAGTAGGGGTTCTGTGGGGGGCTGCAGTACCCCCTAAAATCTGACATAATAAAAACCACCACCAACTTATAATGACTTTCTCCTTTTTTTACTGGGATTTATATGTACACACTGTACACTATTACTATTAAATAGGCTATACATGTTACTGGCCATTTAAATGAATGCAAAAACCATGAATGTAAAGAATTTAGCATTTAGTCTGATGATCTCTCTGCACCCCCAGCTCTGACTGACTCACAGCGTCCCTGCTCAGGTAAAGTACAAATACGTCAAAGCTGCACGTCAGTACAGTGATGTACTTCCTAGCACTGTTGACTCCGCTCTCACAGTCTCTGTCATGTGGATCTGTTTCGTCATGGTTCTCTGCAAGGATTCAATGAATCATCTTATCTTGTTTAAATTGGCCCAGCCTTAAATATTCAGACTCAAGGATTTGACATTGAAGGAGCTGAATAAAAGCGTGGCCCTGCAGCAGCTCTAGGCCTTCCTGCACAGCTCCTCTCTGCCATGCTTGGCCTCTGAACCAGACTCCCCCCTACCCCTTCTCTCTCAGGACCTTCCTCTGCTATACGGATATGGCTTGGTTTCTGTGCTCGTGTGTGTTTTTGTTCGTGGGCCTTGCTTTGTTGGTGCTACAGTGGAAGTTCAGGAGGTCTGGTCCCCAGGAGCCCCCCCGCCTCCCAGCGCTACCTCTGATCGGCAGTCTGCTGAGCCTGCGGAGCCCTCACCCTCCTCATGTGCTTTTCAAAGAACTGCAGGGGAAATATGGACAGACGTACTCCCTGATGATGGGCTCCCACTGTGTCATCGTCGTCAACCAGCACGCACACGCCAAAGAAGTGCTGCTGAAGAAGGGGAAGATATTTGCAGGAAGACCCAGAACTGTGGGTATTCCTCCTCCTCATTGTCTTCCTCCTCTTGCTAGCAGCAGTACTCATGTATGTCTTTTCCTTCTCTGTTCCTGTCCTGTGTGTGATGAAGGTAACCACAGATGTTCTGACCAGAGATGGGAAAGACATCGCGTTTGGAGACTACAGCGCTACCTGGAGGTTCCACAGGAAAATAGTCCATGGAGCTCTGTGCATGTTTGGAGAGGGCTCAGCCTCCATCGAGAAGATCAGTAAGTTCACTCTGCACTCCTCCAATTATGATTCCTCTCACTTATCAAAAGGGTTCTAAATTGTACACACTTCTAGAAGTATTTATCCATACAGATAGTCAGTGACCTGAACACAAGCTATATTCACAAAGCGTTTTACACAAACTTCCTGCAGTTATTGTGTTAATTGTACAGTTTATCAGTTGTTCTCTATTTTTATTGTTATTATTGAATATGATATCCATAAAATCACTGAGTCAGGGGTCAGTTTACTCAATGTTAGTAAAGGGTCCCTTCAGGAAAAAGGTTGGGAACCACTGAAATAGATCACTAAAGTAACAGATAAATGGTTGGAACATCCAGCTTTTGCCTCTCTATGTGGTTAAAGTAGCTACAGTGAAAACTTGACTAAATCAAACTAAACACAGACAGTTCAACTGTATGAAAATATTGTAACATCCACTATTATATCCACTTTTATATGATTAACAGTTAAACAACATCCAGTTTGTGGCAGCTACCATTCCTAAAAAATGCCTGGCCACCCCAGTTTGGTGTCAAATGCTGTCAAATTTAACACATTTAGATTCATTTAAAAAACAAAAACATATTTTCTATTTTTTTTAAATATAAAAATATTTCATATTTCAATTCATATTTAGTCATATTTGCTGAAACTTTCACTATATCCTGACAGTAGAACATGAGACAAATATTCTGTGAAACAATCTGGGTCCTCTGGCTCCTCCTAGTGCTCCTAATGACATTTCAGACCACCAATCAGGTGAGAACGATTGGTGACTGTTGATTGCCATTCCTATGGGCTTTTCGAAGTAAATATTAATATATGTGATTGTTTGTGATTAAATCAGCATATATTTCTGCCTCCCATTAAAGTCTTCATGCCACCCTTTGGAGTAATAGAATATTTGAACTTTAATCACTGTTATGGAAGTTGGAACAACAAAGGAAGAATAGGCCATTTTGATTGATTGTAATTAAATAGTGATCATAGTTTGATCATTGTTTGACTACGATTTTTTAATCTTCAAACCTAAAAATAAAAATGACGCAGAGGTGACAAAATGCTCTCAAATAGGGAGTCTTTTTTGTGTGTAGAAAATACATATCAGAGACGCACATTATTGTTCCTGTGTTCTGCTTAGTCTGTGCAGAGGCTCAGTCTCTGTGCTCCGTCCTGTCCGAGGCAGCGGCTGCTGAACTGGCCCTGGACCTGTCTCCTGAGCTGACGCGGGCTGTCACCAACGTCATCTGCTCACTGTGCTTCAATTCGTCCTACCGCAAGGGGGACCCCGAGTTCGAGGCCATGCTGCGCTACAGCCAGGGCATCGTGGACACTGTGGCAAAGGACAGCCTGGTAGACATCTTCCCCTGGTTACAGGTAGGACGTGAACACTCTGAATAAGCAAGAAAACATAGGAACATACAGGAGCACCATTCATCAGTCTTTTATCAGTATTATTAATACCTAATTACAACTGCTGTTTGCTGTGTATCTATAAATGATTACTAGACACTGTCTTAATGGTATAGGACTACATTTCCCATAAATCCCTGAAACTTTCACTATATTCTAACAGTAGAACATAAGACAGATAAATCAGGTTCCTCTGGCTCCTCCTAGTGCTCCTAATGGCATTTGCAAGACTCCACCAAGCCCGAACAAAATCCACCAATCAGAGCCAAGGGTGCCCAGGTGGCCATAATGTTATGGCTGATCGGTGTATTTCTATCTATATGTTTAGATATATATGTACACATATATACATTAATTACATAAAATATCACCCTGTATATATAAAACAAATGAATGATGTCTGTCTCTTTCACAGATATTTCCCAATGCCGATCTGCGTCTTCTAAAGGAGTGTGTTTCAATTAGAGACAAACTTCTACAGAAGCAATACGAAGAACACAAGGTACAGTCGCCCTTTTGCTAATAATATCCTTTCCTGTCATTAATGTGATAAAGATGGTTTAGATTTAATGGTGATGTACTATAGTTGGCAAGTCCCCATATGCCCACAATCTGTGACTAGAACATCTTACAAAGGAAATTTGTCACCAGTTATGAAGAAATGGAGAATTTCTCTGTAAACATAATTTTGCTGTAAGGTTGAGCATTTTAACATGGGGCCTCATGGAGATTGACTCATTTCTGGAGCCAGCTCAAGTGGCTGCTAGAGGTTCTGTAGTTTTTGTTACTTCATTTGCAGCCACAGAGGTTGCACTGATACTAACTCGTCAAGGTTCCTACGTGTTTTCCTAACTTATTATTATTGTGATACACAAATACTGACATACTTCACTGTGGCAGTCATTTTAAGTTGTTCTATCTGCTAAATGCAAACCCAATGAAATACTGTATACCATGAGTGTGTGTGCTGTACAGTGACACGGTGCTCCTTCTCTCCCAGGCAGACTACAGTGACCATGTTCAGAGAGACCTGCTGGACGCTCTGCTGAGAGCCAAGCGCAGTGCGGAGAACAACAACACGGCAGAGATCAGTGCAGAATCCGTAGGCCTCAGTGACGACCACCTCCTCATGACTGTAGGAGACATCTTTGGAGCGGGTGTGGAAACCACCACCACCGTGCTCAAATGGGCCGTCACCTACCTCATTCACCACCCGCAGGTGAGGCTGGAGCGGCAGCAGTGTGTATTTGATTTGGGTAGAGGGGGGTTTCCCTGTGATGTATAAGGTTTAGCGGCTGTGGCTCAGAGGCAAGAGCGGTCGTCCCAATCGGAAGGTTGTGTTTCGATCGAAACCGGTCCTCCTGCCACGTGGTCGAACGTATCCTTGAGCAATGATACTGAACCCAAATTGCTCCCCGATGCATATGCATCGTGTGTGAATGTGTATGAATGAGTTTAGGTTTTCTGTTCGATGGACTTTGCCGTGAATGTTTGTGTGAAGGGTGAATGTGCAACGTAGTTAACAAGCGGGTTTGAGTGGTCGGAAAGACTAGAAAGGCGCTATACAAGTATATAAGTACAGGTCCATTTACCATTATACTTGAATGGATCCGAAGAATTTGGCTGTATTCTCCTCTCTAGTCCTCAACACACTTGACTCTCTGAATTCAGTTAGAGTTTGGGTTTAAAATTGACCTTTTTAAACATGTGGAGAAGTCAATCTTAACTGCCTGAAACTGCAGTTCCTCTGTGGTCCACTAGATGCTACTGCTATGACTTTAATTGTGAAAGTGCATACCACATAACCACAATGACAATGTGAACCCTTGTTGCATATCATACCCCACGGTCTCCTCTCATTTACTCCCCACTATGCAATAAAGGTTGAAAATGCCCAAAAATAATGTTTGCAGAATATGGATATCTCTGACTGTGTGTGTGTGTGTGTCTGTTTAGGTGCAGAGGCGTATCCAGGAGGAGCTGGACAGTAAGGTGGGTGTGGACCGGTCACCTCAGCTCAGTGACAGAGGCAGTCTGCCCTACCTGGAGGCCACCATCAGGGAGGTGTTACGGATTCGCCCTGTGGCCCCTCTACTCATCCCCCATGTGGCCCTCAGTGACAGCAGGTACGCTCAATGCTGCCAGGATGGAATGTTTGGAATATTTGTTTCATGCACAGGGGAATTTCAAACCTGCTAACATTAAACCTGAGAGAAGACCGTCCCTATAACCTCCCCTCTCTCTCCCTCAGCATTGGGGATTTCACAGTGAGGAAAGGAAGTCGAGTTATCATCAACCTGTGGTCTCTGCACCATGACGAGAAGGAATGGAAAAACCCTGAGCACTTTGACCCTGGTGAGAGGAAACTTCAGTGTAATTGTTATGTGTCACTTATAGAGCCAATAGGCCTTTTCATCATGTCTGCTGGGAAAAGGGTTAATTGAATTGAAATGAATTGGTAATTGAAGTCAGTTTTTTGCTGAACTCCACAAAGAATGGGATTAATGATGATACAAGGATAAAGCCTTGTCTGGCTACTGTTATTAAGGAACTAAGGAAATGAGGTGTAGAATGGGAATGTTCGTTGCCATTGGGCGTATGGGGGTATACCTGAAATCCTGGACAAACAAAACTAAATAGATAAATTATGCACTTTTATTATTTTATTTATTTAGATGAACTGACTCTTACAAGGTCCAGTGTGTAGGATTTAATGGCATTTAGCAGTGTAGTTGCAGATCGCAACTCCCTCGCTTCACCCTTCCCTCACAAGCGCAAAGGAGAAACTATGGTGGCCACAAAACGCAAAACATGCTCCAATAACAGTTGAGCAAGCCACAGTCCAAACCTCAGTCAACTTTCTCCTTTCCTGTACTTAGATATGCTTTGTGCTATTTTTTGTGTTGTAAAGACAACCACATTTTAAAGATCGTTAAAACATAAAAGTGAATGTAAGCAAAACGCTAGCTAACTAGCTAGATAATCATTAGCTACCGTTTTGCTCTGTAGCAAGGTTATTAGTAGATAGTAGTGTAGTACATTTATTAGCTAATTAGCTTATCTACATCAAGTCAGCTTGCTGGTTACACTAATGTTAGCAAAATGCTAGTTAAGGTGTGTAGGATTTAGTGGAATCTAGCCAGTTTCAGGTTGCAACCAACAAAACACTGCTCGGGCCTGTATTTGATGACCTGTGAATGAAAACGGGCTGTGAAATGCATAGGAGAAACTACGGTGTTTGGTTTGTCTGTTCTGGGCTACTGTAGAAACATGGCAATTAAACATGGCAGACTCCATGGTGCCTGTAGATAAAAATGCCTCATTCTACCGTAACAACAACATAACAGTTCTTAGTGATTATACACTAATGAAAATATACCTATCAATATTATATTCCATTTCTGGCAGTAGAGCCTCCTAAATGTTACAAAAAAATGCAAAGAAATATTAACTAATATAAACTATTAACTATTTTTCAAATGTGGACCAAATATGAGCTAGCAGCAACTTAGCTCCATGAACAGCACTAGTTGGACCCTGATTGTAAGAGTTGTGTGTGTGTTGATTCTGATTCCCTCTCCCAGGTCGGTTCTTGGACAGTGACGGCACTGGTCTGATCATCCCGTCGTCCAGCTACCTGCCGTTCGGCGCTGGGGTCAGGGTGTGCCTGGGCGAGGCCTTGGCCAAGATGGAGCTCTTCCTCTTTCTGACCTGGATCCTACAGCGCTTCACCCTCTCCGTCCCACCGGGCCACCCTATGCCCAGTCTGGAGGGCAAGTTTGGCGTGGTCCTCCAGCCTGCCAAGTACAAGGTGAACGCCGAGCCCAGACCGGGCTGGAAGACGAAGTGCCAGGCATGTTGAGGCTGGCCACATGTTCTCGAGAACAGTGGCTCTCAGTTGTGACCTGAGAGTCTGTGAACTGGACATTTCTTCTTTTTATGCATGACTTTTATTATTATTTCTAATAAGTAATTCTAGTAACACTATCTTACCAACAGTTCTGAACTCTATTTATAAAATAAACCTTTGGGTCTGATATACAGTATTTGAACAAGTTCTCTCTGCTGCACTTCACTAAATAATCTCAGGCTAGAGGAGGGCCTACATACCAATAGGAAACACACTTCTCTATACAAATAACTGTAATTCCTGCAGCCTCTCAACCAGAACCTTGGTCAACTTCCTCCTTTCCTGTACTTGCTAGGCCAAAGACTATATAAATAAAAATGGATGTAGTCTCCGTGATGTCACCCATAGGTCTCTGAAGAGGTGTTGTGAAGCTTTGGCTCTGGCCGTCGCCATCTTGGCAGTCCAAGTTCAAACAGGAGCATATTAGAAAACAGGGAGGGTTCTTACTAAAATAAGATCAAATACATTTATAAAATGGATGAAATAATAAAAATAAAGGCATGTTTCCATTCTATAAGGTTTTCTCTGTGGTTAATAGAGGCCTTACCCACAATTTGATGCAAGGTTATTATAGTTAACTAAAACTAAACTAAAAGGTGTCAAATAATTTTAGTTAACTGAAATAAAAATGAAAACAATATTGTGTACTTACAAAACAAAATAAAATAGGAAATGTCTTAAGTTTTAGTCTTTGTAAATTTGGTCATACACAACAAACAGAGACTGGATGTACATGACTGTGAGTCAACGCAGTAACAGAATTTAGCTTCATATTTGATCAGCACTGCCTAGTTTGATCTGGGTTTGGTGCTTTGAGCTGGACGAACTCACTGATAATGCTCATTAACATGCATGGTATCGTTTTTTATTGCAGCCAGTGGATCTGCCCCCTGCCGGCCTTTGTATACAATGCAGGTTTCTGGCATTGGTTTTACTTCACAGACCCGGAAGCTCTGTCCATTATATATACTATCAATGGTCATTCCCAGGACAGCAAATACAGGCACTTTGGGAGCCTGGGAATGAAACTCAACAATCAACTATCATCAAGCTTCCAACCTAAATCGTCTTTATATCTTTCTTGGCTCTGATCGGTTGTTTTCAT